GGGTGGAACCCTTCGGAGTAGGGAAGGCTGAGCTAGAAGATCTGTAAGGGTTGATTTGCCAAATTCAGTTCGTGGGAAAATAGGGAGGATGGCCCTCTCCCCAAGGCTGTATATAAGCATGTCAAACTCAGAGCCCACCGACCACAAGTTTGACATGTTTGCTGTACAACTTATTCACTGACACCACCTGAGTTTGCCCAGACCTCTACTCCCTGGCCTAGGCACTGACTCCTCAGCTTGGCACAAGTTCTATAGGGAGGGAGGAGAGATAGTTCAGAGGATGGGGCTGTTGTTTTCCCCCAGGCTGATGCTTAGCAGGTGAGTGTCCCACATAAGAAAGATGGTGTCTGTGGTTTGTGTGAGGGAGACTCAGTCTCCATTTTATTTCTGAATAGAATGTCCTACAACTTGTGTATCCATTAGTTTATTGATAGATTCCCAGCTGTTTTAGAATTTTACCTATTGTGAATAAAGCTGCTATGAATATATTTGTATACATCTTTAGGTTGCACACGTGCTTTCTCTTCTCTTATGAGTGGAATTGCTGAGTATTGGGGTATGTACATGTTTGGTTTTATGAAAAACTGTCAGAAATTATTGCAGGGAAGTGGTACTACTTAAAATTTCCACCAACAATGTATGAAAGTTTTTATTGTATCGTATTCTTAGCAATATTGATGTTGTCAATCCTTTAAATATAAACATTCTGCTAAGTGTATAGTAGTATCTCAATGTGTTTTTAATTTGCATTTCCCCTTTGACTAATTGTGTATAGAGCAGTTTTATATGCTGGTTGGTTATCTGCAGTATCTTACTTTGTAGATTGTCTAGTCAGATCTCTTGTCCATTTAAAAATATTGGATTATCTTATGTCTTAAGCAGAAGTTCTTGGTTTTGGTAAAGTCTAATTTATGTGTTTATTATTTTGTAGTTCTTGTTTTCTGTGGCCTAATAAATCTTTGCTTTATCTCCATTTGATTGGGTTATCTTTAGAAGTTTTATCATATATTTTTTGGTTTGTTTTGTTAGATCAACTGAAGGACTTGTATGCATGCATATAAGCATAACCAATGGACACAAGGCACTGGGTGGAGGGTGAGGGCATGTGGGGGGGGTTAAGGGGAGACTGGGGAAAGGTCAATTGGGGGGGGAAGATGACATATGCACTACTATTTATAATACTTTAAACAATAAAAAATAAAAAAGAAAAAAAAGTGTATTTCTCTGAAAACACATAGTGTTCTTAGGATTCGACTAGACCCATGGTTGGCAAACCGCAGCTTGTGAGCCACATGTGGCTCTTTGGCTCCTTGAGTGTGGCTCTTCCACAAAATGCCACGGCTTGGGCGAGTCGATGTTGAAGAAGCTGATCTCGCCTCCCCTGCTGGCCTGATCTTGCTCCCAATTGCCCTCCCCTGCTGACCTGATTGCCCCCAACTGCCCTCCTCTGCTGGCCTGATCTCACCCCCAACTGCTCTTCCCTGCCAGCCTGATCACCCCTAACTGTCCTTCCCTACCAGCCTGATCTCGCCCCCAACTGCCCTCCCCTGCAGGCCTGATCTCACCCCCAGTTGCCCTTGTCTGCTGGCCAATTTGGTTCTGATTGGTCGGTTTCTATGCCACTCAGCGTCAAAAGTTCCACCTCCTACGCAGTCATTGGCTTCTCACAGTTGACCCAGATTTTTGGTTCTGATTAGTTGATTTCTATGCCAGTCAGCGTCAAAAGCTCCGCCTCCTAGGCAGCCATTGGCTCCTCACACTTCACCCAGATTTGGTTCTGATTGGTCGGTTTTTATGCCAGTCAGCGTCTCAGGGCCTGATCAGAAAGGCGGGGCTGATCAGCTGCCCTGGTGGAGGCCTGGAGATAAAAGGAGGCAAGGCTGCTGGCCTGACTCAGAGACAAAGAGAGTCAAGTGCTGATCAAAAGCTGCCACAAAAGCTACAGATAGACCCTGCTTCTTTCTTCAGGTCCCTCTCCACACCTGATTCGCAGCACTCTTGGCACTCAGTGCTGGGTCTCCATGGCAACCCAGTGTTGACTGCAGGACTGACTTCTTGTTGATGGACCACAGTTTTTATATATTAGGATTATTATTTTGATATATTTCTAGAATCCCATCTTAACTTACCTAGTGGCTTTTTAAATACCGTATTTTCCAGCGTATAAGACGACTCCTTAATTTTACAGTTAAAACATAGGTTTAGGCCTATATTTGCTGTATAAGACGAACCCCCACTTCCGAGGCAACACCAGTTCTTTTTTTAATAGACCGCCTCTCTGACTCTGGCTAATCTGGGCAGGCTTTTTACTAGAACACAGTGTAGCTTCGGTATAGAACATGTATAATTTGCATGCATAAAAAGCCTGCTTGGATTGGCTGAGTGAGAGAGGTGGTCTATTAAAAAAAGAACTGGTGTTGCCTCGGAAGTGGGGGGTCGTCTTATACAGCGAATATAGGCCTAAACCTATGTTTTAACTGTAAAATTAGGGAGTCGTCTTATACGCCGGAAAATACGGTATATTTTTTTTAAGTTTTTTAGTGTTTACTCTCGATATTGTATTATATATGCCTGTTTTCATAATCTACTGAGAATGTTGTATAATTTCACATAAAATGTAGAAACTTCCAATTATATAGGTTCATTGGCTCCCTCTTTTTTTTCGGTAGTTGTCATATGTATTACATCTACATATCTTATAAACTGTATAATATATGTTGTTTTGCTTTGAAAAGTGATATGTTTTAAGAAAATTAAGAGTGAAATCATTCTTTTATTATGTACCTGTGTGTGAGTTATTTCCAGTGCTTTTCATTACTTTCTGAAAGTCCAACTATCTGATGTTATTTCATTTCAATTTGGCAGACTTACTTTGGCATTTTTCTTACTGAGGGTGTGTTGGTAACACATACTATTATTTTTGTTTTATCTGAAAATATTTTTGTTTTATTTTCATTCTTGAAGGTTATTTCTGTGAATATAACACCCTGCATATTGGCATGGATCTCCCACTTCCCTTTCTGTACTTTTATATATTTCATTCCACTATCTTCTGGATTTTGCATTTTCTTGTGAGATGTCAGTGAATATTCAGAGTTTAGTAGATACTATGTACAGAATAACAGCAACTAAAAATGAAGGTAATTTTTATTTTTATATTTTGAGGTCACTTAGGGTTCTAATTTTATTGAGTTATCTGAAAATTCAAAAGCAGTGTTTAACCATTGTAGGCATCCCCATGTTTCTGATTTTAATGGGAAGTGTTTCACTGTTGAATATTTTGCTTGCTCTGAATATATTTGGGGGAAAAGTGTGTCATACTTAAGGAGTTTACTTTTATTCTTATTTTATTTGTTTTTGTTAGGAATCATACCTGGGATTTGTTAAATGCCATTTTAAGTCTTGATATAATCACAGTCAATTAGCTTTTTAACAAATTGGATTTAGATGCTCTTTTATTTAGGTTTTGTTTTTTTTTCCATCAGTACTGATAAGTGTAGACTTTTCTCTTGAACTATTTCTATCGGGTTTTATTAATACTTTATACTACTTTAAAAATTAATTGCATACCTTAAATATCATCTTCTCTTGTATTTCTTTTGTGGAGATAATTTTCTCCTAGTTTCAAAAACTAATTACTAAGAGTCTTAGGTTTAGGTGAGTTTTGTCAATTTGTCAAAACACTTTTCAAAAACCAATATATAGATACTCTACAGAATATACTTTTTAGTGTAATTTTATTAAGGAGTTCAGATGTTTTTAAATGAAATTGACATTTTTTTCCAAGTATGTATCTGTTATTTTGTATTGTTACATGGTCTGGATTTTTACTATGTCCTTTCAAAACACTTGTTTCTTTTAAAACAATTTAATTACTTTTAGAGAGAGGAGAGGAGAGGAGTAGACAGAAACATTGATGAGAGAGAAACATTGACCAGCTGCCTCCTGAACACCCCCAACTGGGGATTGAGCCCGCAACCTTAGTGTGTGCTCTGACCAGTAATCGAACCCTGATCTCCTGGTTCATGAACTGACACTTAACCACACCAGCTAGGCCCCATTTTCTTATTTAACATTAGAGGCCCAGTGTATGACATTTGTGCACTGGTAGGGTCCCTAGTGGCTGTCAGCTGCAGGTCAGGGCCTCCCTCCCTTCCCCCAGCCAGACCTGCGCCCTTAGTAGAACTCCCAGTCGAGGGGACAGTTTGCATACTATGCTTTTATTATATAGGATTCCTTCCTTCCTTCCTTCCTTCCTTCCTTCCTTCCTTCCTTCCTTCCTTCCTTCCTTCCTTCCTTCCTTCCTTCCTTCCTTCCTTCCTTATTATTTTTTTTAACAAGCTCCTCAGTACTTTTTGTTAGAAGTCTAAATCCTAAATATGGATAGATAAATTAGAAAGATTTTTATTGCATGGACATCTTTTTTTTTTTTTTTTTTTTTTTTTTTTTTTTTTTGTATGAGTCCTTTATGTTTAGTAGAGTGCATAGATTACCAACTAGAGTCATGCACCAATGGTGGGTCCCTCGGCCTGGACTGCAGGGATTAGGCAGAAACCTGTGTGGTGCACAGATTCGTCCAGGGCATGCCTGGCCTGTCTCACCCAGTCCAGTTCTGGGAGGGACCATCGGAGGGCTCCAGGGTGTGTTGGCCTGTCTTGCCCAGTCCTGATCAGCCGGACCCAACAGCAAGCTAATCTGGTCGGAGCATCTGCCCCCAGGTGGTCAGTGCACATCATAGTGACTGGTCAAACGGTCAAACAAATGGTTGGACACTTAGCATATTAGGCTTTTATTGTATAGGATACTTTGGGAATGTTTATGAATGATTATTGGAATTTGCTGTGATCTGAGTTTTAGTGCTGCTTAATGTTTCCCTTTTTGCTAAAGAATTGCAATAACTTTTTTAGCTACCTTATGAATTTCAACTTGGTATTGGTTATTTATACATAATATGAATATAATAACCTGCTTTTCTTCCTTTCTATTGTTTTTTTTAACAGTTACATGGGAATTGGTCTATCTGCTCAAGGTGTGAACATGAATAGACTACCAGGTACAGTTGTAATTGAATTATATAGTATAGTCTCATAGCTCTTTGTGGCTAAAACTTTCCATTAATAACTTGAAATTGTAAAGTACATTGATTTTCTGTATTTTTAATCACCTATACTCTGAGTTCAAAGTAGAAACTGAGTTGTTAAAATAAATTGAATTGAAATTTCTTTGGTATTTGGCATAATTTAGTACATGTATACTATGCATTTTTTTTTTTGCCTTTTTTTTTTTTTTTTTTAACTTCCAGTACATAGTCATACCAACTTTAAACATTTTAATGCGGTTAACTCTGTTTGCTACACAACACATTCTTGGCTTTTAACCCATTTTCAGTTGTTTATATTTCATTTGTTAATATTCTCACAATGTAGACCTAATGTTAAAAGTAAATTAAGGAAGGTGTGAATTCAGATGTCAGACTGTTTCTCAAAACCATTATTAACCAGATGATTATATTTCTGGTGTTCTGTTTACTAATGTTTAAAATTAATTTGGGGATAAACTTTTTGAAATTGGAAAGCAAAGTAGAAAACTCTTCTATTTTATATTAAACTGTGCGTGTGTATATTTGTGCATGTGTGTGTAAATCAAATCAAACTAAAATTCCTTTTGGTGTATTACCAAAGGAAATATGCATGGAAAACTTAATCTTGCCTTATTTTCTTTGTAGGTGTCCTCTCTTTTTATTATAATACATGTTTTTGTATTCTGTGTGCTGAGTTCATTTTCCTTACTGTCATAAATAGTATATGTGTATATATATATTTTTTTTCTTACTGATTTCAGAGAGGAAGAGAAAGGGAGAGAGAAACATCAATGATAAGAGAGAATTGTTGATCAGCTGCCTCCTGCATGGTCTCCACTGGGGATGAAGCCTGAACCAGGGCTTGTTCCCTGATCAGGAACCGAAATGTGACCTCCTGTTTCATAGGTCATGCTCAACCCACTGAGCCTTGCCCAGCGGGCTATAAACTGTATTTTAATATAAAAATTGTCATGTAATTGTGGAGAATTTAAATATACATTTGGGAATTTGATCTCTATATTATCTGTTGTACTCTTCTTGCTTACTTTCACATAATCTTTGTGAATCAATTGTAGCACAGTGGAACTTTTCATTTCATTGTAAATATACTGGAACTTTCTTTTTAGGCTGGGATAAACATTCATATGGTTATCATGGGGATGATGGACATTCATTTTGTTCTTCTGGTACGGGACAACCTTATGGACCAACTTTTACGACCGGTGATGTCATTGGCTGTTGTGTTAACCTTATCAACAATACCTGCTTCTACACCAAGAATGGACATAGTTTAGGTACTAAGATAATGTATTGCATGTAAAATAACCAAATATTGTCATTATTGTACTTGCATTATGATAGTCTTCTTTATAAATAGATGCCTCTGGAAGCTATTTCTTTGTTCCTTCCAGGTGAAAGTTGACAAAATGGTGAAAAATTGTATTCTGTGCAGGCACATTGTATCACATGTACAGGAATAACTAAAAAAAATTCCTATGCTCAGATATTTATTGTAATAATAGAAGTGTTAAGTGTTTTCTGCTTTGCTTTGAATAAAGCCCTTCATAGTGTGATTCAATTCTCTAGGTTAACAGGTACTAAGAAAAAGGGCTGTCAGTTTTTAGTCCAGCAAGGGGGTAAAATAAAGGAAAAACTTGATGCTACCAACCAAATGTAGGGCACTGACACATAAAAGGTCATGCCTGCTAATAAAGATTGATAAAGGATGGTGACTATAAGTTCTGCAAAAGTGATCAGAATTAAAACAAGCAGATAACAGCAACACTTCTAGGAATGAAAGACAGGTAGGTGACTAAGAAATAAATAGATTAATGAAAACATGAAGATAACCTATTCATTGTAAGACTAATAGAAAATTAGGGTTTTTAGTTAAATATGAACTCATAATACTTCAAATTTAAAATTATATATGGTTGTTACCACTCCCATTTCATAGCAGTTCTTTTAAGGTTTTTTTTTTGTGTTTTGTTTTTCTTCCCATTATGGAAAGCATAAAGGGTAGCAAGATTAGTGTGTTAAAAATATAAAGGTTTCACATTACTTTCACTGTTTGAAATAGACTTGATTCATAGCAAATTATTTCTGATGAGAAAAAGTGAAAGCAGTAAAAAACTGAGTAACTCCAAAAGGCAGAAATTTCAATTTACTTATGAACAGTATTTAAAAATTAAACTGCAAATAGTATGCTTCCTTAGACATATAATATATATTCTTTAATACAAAAACTATTCTTTCTGTCATTTCAGAGAAAAATTTAAATTTCTAAGTGTATTAGTAATAGTTATTTTTATTAGTGTTTCAACATATTCTTAATATAAAGTTAGTGTCTTCATATTAATATTTGGCTTAAAATATTTCCTCCTGATTATTAATATTGACTCTGAAATCCTATATTATCTGACTTAAAGATTGTCTTAAGTTCACAAAAGATCCTTATACACAGTTCATCATAGAACAGGTTTAAATCCCTACTCAGATATGAATTTTTTTTCAGTAAATACAAATAGCACTGTAAATGTATTTTATCTTCCTTATGATTTTCTTAATATTTTCTTTTCTCTAGCTTTATTGTAAGAATACAGGATATAATACATATGATGTACAAAATATGTGTTAACTGTTTATTGGTAAGAGTAGTGGTTAGCAGTAGGCTATTAGTAGTTAAGCATTTGGGGGGGAGTCAAAAGTTACATGTGGATTTTTAACTGCACAGGAGTCAGTGTTCCAAACCCCTGCTCTATTCAAAGGTCAAGTATTCTTATCAGTATAAGAATGTTAAGGATAGCATATAAATTTTTTGTGTATTTATAATTTGATTGTTATAGCTAACTGGTTTCTGTAAGGCTACAGCTCCTTCAATTTGTTCGTTAATATTCTGGCTTTGACTTACAGCAGCCAACTGGCATAGTCTTAGGTGTCTTGGCTGCTAAAGATATTTAATATCTTAAATCAGGATAAATTCTCTCTTAGGTATGACTTTGGGTTCAGAAATGCAAAAGGCATATTTTAAAATTAAATCAGTCTTTTTACAGTTTTTTAAACTTTATTCCAGAGAAGAATTTTTATTTTGAAAGATGGGAAGAGGTGATTTTGTGGGGTTTTTTTTTGTTAGATTTTTATAGATATTTAAATCTGAATAAGAACTGTTTTTAAAACGAGAGATATTTTTTAAAGGGTACACTATGATTGAATTACATTCAACTTTTTAAGTAAATTTGAAACATTTGATTTTATTTATAAATGAATAAATATTTATTAAACACATAGAGAAACAGTATATAGTGATTAATAGATTTTCTTTAGTTGTCTGATTTTGTCTCCTGGTTTTTAGGCTATGTGACCTTATGCTTCAGTTTATAAAATAGGATCACTGTGAGGCCTACCTTATTAAGGTTGTTAGACTAAACTGAAATGATGCATGTGCAGTTCTTAACTGATTGCCTGACACAAAGTGAGTGCTCAGTAAATGTTTATTATCATTGTTTGCCACATTCAGGGCAAGGTGCCAGGGATGCAGTGGTAAAACATTGGTGAACAAAATTATTTCTTTAGAACCAATTTTCTTTAGATGTGCCAAATCTGTCTCCTCTCTGTTTTTTCTAAACTTTCATTGGAATGCAGCCACATTCATTTTTATGCACTGTGTATGGCTGCCTTCCTGCCGCGGTGGCAGAATTGAGTGGTTGTAACAGAGACCATATGGCCTAAGGAGAAGAAAATATTTACTCTCTGGATCTTTGGAGAATTGTGCTTACCTCTGGTCTAGAGGCTAACATCTAGAAGATAAAGTATTATTCACTTGCTGTTCCTTGTAGTACTTCCCAAAGTGGATAATTTTTACCCAAAAGCTGATAACATCTTTAACTTCTGTCTCATGAAGCTTTTAAAAATATGTATTTACTATAAAAGGAGAAACAGAAAGGTTTTTATTTGAGAAACAAATTAAAGGAGAAATATTTTAATATTTAGGTTAATGTAATTTGAAATTATTTTACTTGGTTTTAATGAGTATCATTCATTAATTGAAGGATCACTTTTCAAAAAGCATCTTGACAAATCAGGAAATTAGAAATATAAAAAAATTGCTTTTAATGTATTTAAGTAATACACTATTACTATACCAACTTATTAAACTGGCATCTTTTTGTGGTCTCACTATTTATAGGCTTAGATAGCTATATTTGGCAGTGGTCAAAAGTGTTAATATATGAAATTAAATTGGAATTTTCATGAGAGTGTTAGGAAAGAGTGATTTCAGTAATTAATAGCAAAAAGGATTTTTTTACTAAAAGAATGTAAATTTGACAGTTTTGTTGTAAATAGACATCTTTGAGGGAAATAATTCGTTAGGCTTTTATGAAAATGGCAATTATGTATGGTAATATTTTATTGAAATACTCTTTATTGTTTTCTGTAAATGTTTTCTGAAATTTTTAGAATAAATTTTCATAGTTGTTAGGCCCACAGTTACTTTGCTTTTCTATGAATGAAGCTAAAAGTAACCCTAGTGGCAGGGCATTAATTTACTAGTTTTAAAAAGGACTTTAACTACAAAACACTTTTTACACATTTATTTTAAAACATGTAGAGTAAAGATTATGGTCAGTTTATCTTTTAACTTTAGTACTTTCATGGATAGGGTCAGTTTTCTGAAGTATAATTATATAAAGAATCTCAAGTGGGAAGATAATTTAACAGAAATACCCTCACTTTTTTATGGTGATCAGCACTGTTAAGGGTATTGCTGGTATAGTCTCCAATTTGTTTTAATGTGTGTTTAGATTGGAAGGTTTAATATTAACCCAATCACCAATATCATCCCCTGCCATTATTCTAGAACTCAAAATTTTAAAACATGAATAAGGTGCTATAGGAATGTTTGGTTTATTATCTTATTTTCAGCTAAGTAATATATTTTAATATTTTAAGGGAGATTATTAAATAACCACTTTGGGATGTTAGGAGTCTTATTCCAATAATACTATCATTGTTTATGTGTATTGGAACATAACTTGAAATAACTGTCTGAGGACATTCAAGAGAAAATTCTCAACTGTTTATATCTTTATCCTTTGAAGGAGAAATATTTTTCAGAGTAGTCAAGAATATTCTTTTATAAGGAATTTGATTTTATTTTAAGAACAAACATACTGTATTTTTCATTGTTCATCTTAAAATTTTTCCCTTCCAAAATTATTTAAAAGCTAAATTTAAGTAAGGAAGATTAAATGATAAAGTTGGATAAAGTATCTTGGATATTGGTCAAAATTCAAATGATTATTTTTTATAACTGATTTTCTTACATGATGTCTAGCATAGCTTTGAAGACATATCTAAAATCACTTAAAAAATCCTGGAGTCAATAGTAGAACCCCCCCCAAAATTGGTGTGTAATCTTGGAAAAGTGTCACCTTTCAGTCAAATTTGTTAGTGTTATTAAGAAAAAAAATCATTCGTTATTTTATATTTGGATTTTTCATTCTTTCTGCCTTTGCCATTCTTTTTATTCATTTTAATTAGAAATTTAGCTTGTCACCCTAGTCTGCCTTTGCAAAACAGCTTCTAATACCACCTATTTTTTTCCCTTCAGGTATTGCTTTCACTGACCTACCGGTAAGACATGTGTGTTGTTGTTTTTTAAATCACTTTTGTATTTTTAATTAAACAAAGTATAAAGAAACTAGTACTAAATTGATTTAGGATGCATTCTTACTTTCAATTTATATGCTGTGCATAGAATAGAGATATTTCTTGGTGTGGACCTTCAAAAATTAAGCTCCAAATTTCACTGCACACTGTTACACAAAGGAACTTTGTTGTAGCTAAAAAATAAACCAGAATTTATTATTAAAATATACTTTTAATGTCACTGTGTTTATTTGAAATATGTTTCTTTGATATTGTACTTTTTAGCAAGTACTTGTACAGCAATTCTAGTCATTTTTTAAAACAAATCTTTATTGTTCAGATTATCACAGTTGTTCCTGTTTTCTCCCCTAAAGCTCCCCTCCACGTGGTTCCCAACCGACCCTCTGCCCTTACCTCTTCCCCCGACTGTCCTCATTCATAGGTGTACGATTTTTGTCCAGTTTCTTCCCACATTCCTTTTCCCCTGAGAATTGTCAGTCCACTTGCTTTCTATGCCCCTGATTTTATTATATTCACCAGTTTATTCTGTTCATCAGATTTTTTATTCACTTGGCTTTTAGATTCATTTGTTGATATATATGTATTTGTTGTCATTTTGTTCATAATTTTTATCTTTACCTTTTTCTTCTTCTGCTCAAAGAATACTCTTTATCATTTCACAGAATACTGGTTTGGTGGTGATGAACTTCTTTAGCTTTTTCTTATCTGTGAAGCTCTTTATCTGACCTTCAATTCTGAATGATAGCTTTGCTGGGTAGAGTAATCTTGGTTGTAGGTTCTTGCTGTTCATCACTTTGAGTATTTCTTGCCACTCCCTTCTGGCCTGCATAGTTTCTGTTGAGAAATCAGCTGACAGTCGTATGGGTACTTCCTTGTAGGTAACTAACTTTTTCTCTTGCTACTTTTAATATTCTCTTTGTCTTTTGCCCTTGGCATTTTAATTATGATGTGTCTTGGTGTGGTCGTCTTTGCATTCCTTTTATTTGGGGTTTTCTATACTTCCTGGACGTGTAAGTCTATTTCTTTCACTAGGTGGGGGAAGTTTTCTTCATTATTTCTTAAAATAAGTTTTTAATATCTTGCTCTCTCTCTTCTGGCATCCCCATAATTGGGATGTTGGTACGCTTGAAGTTGTCTGAGAGGCTCCTTACACTATCTTCATTTTTTTTTTTTTTTTACTTTCCTGGTTGGGTGTTTTTTATTTCTTTTTATTTCAAATCTTTGACTTTATTCTTGAGATCCTCTAGTCTGCTGTTGGATCTGTGTATATTATTCTTTATTTCAGTCAGTGTATGCTTATTTTCATATCCAGGACCAGTTGGTCCTTTTTCATATCCTTGCGGATCTCACTAAATTTCTCAGAGGTTTCTAGAAGATTCTTCAGTAACCTTATAATCATGGTTTTGAACTCTATATCCAGTCGTTTGCTTTCGTCCATTTCTTTCATTTGTGACCTGTTTCTTTATCTCTGCATTTTGGCTGCTTCCATGTGTTGATAGAGTGGCTTTGTGTGCTAGGTGTTCTATAGGGCCTAGTTGCTCAGCCTCTCTAATACCTGAGATGGACACTCTTGGTGTACCCCTTTGTGGGCTCTGTGCACAGTCCTATTGTAGTTAAGCCTTGATTGATGTTGGTATCACTGGGAAGAATTGACCTCCAGGCCAATTGGCTGTTAGAATCAGTTGTGTCTACGACCAGTTGTGCTGGAGACACCCTTATGGGACAAGACTTTGTTCATTAGGACTTTGGTGCTTACTGAGTCTGCCTCCTGTGTGTGTCTCTCATGGATCTGAAGAGTGGTAATCTGGATGGTCTCACTCTGACTACTGGGTGCATTGGTTCTTGGATCTCCAAGGAGGTGCAAAGTCAGCCATTGCCTGAAGCCACCCAGCAGGAGCTACGGAGAGATCTGCAAATTCCTCCTCTTTGTTTGGCGTTTGGAGGTGCCCAGATGAGGCCTACCTGTGAAACAATGCAAGTTGCTGTCCAGTTTTGGGCCTTCTTTTGGAGGCTCTGGGGCTCTCTGATCCAGCTGCTGTATGTTGGGTTTTAGATTGCAAAGGCCAGGCCATTCATATGCAAAAGCCTCTGCACACAGCTTGGGTAGAATTGTAAATTGGATGGGGTCTCAGGGACTCACTAGGGCTGAGTAAACAGCAATGGCTGACCGTCAGCCCTGTTCCAAAAAGGTCCCCATGACTCTCAGTCTCTTGGCACCGTGCAGGAGCAATGATCACTACCGGCACCTTTGAGAGAAAGCTGCCTTCGTGTTCTGGTCAGATGTCACAGTCCAGTTTCTCCCCATATGAGTCTGTGTCCCCAGAGTCTCACCCAGAACTGGAGTTCAGAGCAGTCGGGAGCTTGTATCTCCCTCCTGATTGAAAAAGACAGCAGCATATCCAGTTGCCAGCTCTTTTTCGCGGGCACCTCTGTACTTCCACATTTTACTTATGCACCTCCTCACCTCCTTCCAGTCTCTTTTCTCTTTCCTTTTAGTTGTATAAATTTCACTCATCCAACCTTCCTGTGGCTCTGAATGATACCCATTTTGTCTTTTAATTGTAGTTTTGAGGTGGTTGTGCGAGGGAGCAAGTTTAGGTGTTTAACTATGCCACTATCTTGGTTCCTTCCACTCACATCCTTCTTTTTTTTTCTTTTTTCTTTTTTTTAAACCATTTTTAAATTTAGTGTGTATTGCATGCCTACTTTGTGGCAGGTTCTGTGCTTGGATATACCAATGAATAAAATAGGTAAAGTCCTTGTCCTCTTAAAATACACAAGCTGGAGAAGTTAGAGAATAAAAAATACATGAAAAATAAGTAAAGTATAACATTTTAAAAGGTTTTAAGCACTTTTCAAATATAGAGAAAAAAGAGATCGGGCAGCTGAAACTGGTTTGGCTCAGTAGATAGAGCATCAGCCTGCGGACTGAAGGGTCCTGGGTTTGATTCTGGTCAAGGGCATGTACCTTGGTTGCAGGCACATCCTCTGTGGGGGTTGTGCAGGAGGTGGCTAATAGATGTTTCTCTCTCATTAATATTTCTAGCTCTCTGTCCCTGTCCCTTTCTGTAAAAAATCAATATATTTTAAAAATATGAATCATTTAAAAAAGAGTGTGCATGCTAGTACCAAACACAGAACACATGATATACTCTTTGCTCACCTTTGCTCTAGCTAAAATTTGAGCAGAGGCTTTTGAAGAGAGATAACTAATGGACATAGATCAAGAATGTTCCAGGCAAAGGGAACAGTTAAGGGAATGGTACTAAAGCAGGAGCATGTCTGATATTTTTGAAGACTAGCATGAAGTGAGGTAGAGGGACACGAGAAAGGCAGAGAGTAGTAAGGGATCTGTCAGAGATAATGATGGGGATGGGGATTGGCTAGGTCATCTAGATCTTGAGTGGGCCATTGTAAGAACTTCAGCATTTACTCTGAGTGAAATACAGAGACATTGCAGAGTTTTTTATTAATAGTTATCATACAACTTTAATTTTTAAAGGATCAGTGGCCGCTAAGTGGAAAAATTAGGCTAGGGAAAGGAGGGGGAAGAAAGGGTAGAGACAAACAGAATTGAGAGGGGCTATTACAGAAATTCAGGTGAAGTGTGAGAAGTGTGCGTCTATATACCTTATTTACCAAATCTAAGGCTCTATCAGTCTATACTAATAAAAGGGTAATTATGTTAATTAAACCAATTGTCTTCCAGACATTCTTCTGGTCAAAGCCACAGTGGTGGGGACGGAGGCAGTTAGGGGCGATCAGGCAGGTCAGGCAGGTGAGTGTTTAAGAGCCATTGGTCCCAGATTGTGAAAGGGATGTCTGGCAGTCAGATATCCCCCAAGGGGTCCTGGATTGGAGAAGGTGCAGGCCATGCTAAGGGATCCTCTTCTCCCCTCCCCCTCCTTGCACGAATTTCATGCATTGGGCCTCTAGTATTAACTACATAATAAAAGAGTAATATGCAAATTAACCACCTCTCTGCTATACCCACAAGCCATGCCTACCAGCCAATCAGAGCAAGTATGCAAATAAACCCAACCAAGATGGCTACGGCCACAGAGAGCAGGAGGGAGGCTTGGATTTCCCAGGCAACAGAGAAAGCCAAGCTTTCCGCCTGCCTTTGCCAGCCTAAGTCTCCACTCAAGACTATAAAGTTTCAATTATAGAAGGTAAACAAAAGGAGGGGGAGAGGCCTTGGGCAGTCTGCTGGCCGTCCCCATCCCCAATCTGGGTTGTGGAGAAGACTGGGGGAAGGGGCCGTGGGAGGTTGGGAGGAGGGCGATTAGGGCACGGATCAAGCTGGTTGGCCACTGCAGTGCACGTCATAGTGCCCAATTGTTCCACCATTCCTGTCACTAGGCTTTTATGTATATATAGATGCTTTCTTATCACTTAGAACTTTTACTTTACATTTATCCTTTGATCTTTGAGGGTATTTAACATATTTTTCATCAATATTACTTGTATGCCTAAAAATGATGAAATAGCAATATAAATTGACTAAAATGTTCCCCAAACTTATGTTCATAGTCCACGTTCTTAGAACGCTATTTTAAAGTTGATATCTGTGGTTTTCTACATGACATTGTCTCCTATGCCATCAAGTATATTTATTAAGAGTTCTCCATTATATCTGGTATTTTCTTCCAAGCTTCTGCTTGCTTTCTACAGGTTTTGTTGCTATCACTTTCTTAATATTGCCAGAAACTATTAACCACTGGTTTTCTGACAATAGCTAGGACTCTTGTATTTCTTTCTTAGTTGGCTTGTTGACTAAAATGTATTAGGATTGCAGTTATCCAGGTGTTTCATTAGGAAAAATAATCAAGTCCCAGATATTTTTGTGAGCTCATTTTTTAACAAATTCACATCTGTGCAGGCAGTGACAGTTCATCCTAACAGCTGCCTAGCCAGATGTAGGGTGCCATCGATTATAAGACACATTCCAGTTTCAGAGGTGT